TTTGGTCTCTCTGGGTACAATGGGAGCACATGGAAGGGTTGCTGTGGTGGGATTGGTTTATCCCCCTGTTCTCCCAACAAATCTGCCCCTCAGAAACCACAGGAGCCTCCTTGGGGAAAGCCAAAGTTTTCCATGGGATGGATCTTCCCGGCCGTGCCCTGAGAGATGGAGATGCTGTAGAAGATCTCAGGTGCCCCCATCTTGGTGGATGGAGCTGTTGGAGAACATCAGAGGTGTCCACCTGTCTCCTGGTTCTTGGCTTTGCACGCTCCATCATCTCCTGAGAGTTCAGGATTCCGTGGATTAGTGGCTGCCTTGGCAGTGCTGGGTTAATGGCTGGGCTCTGTTACCTTGGAGGCTTTTCTGGCCTTAATGGTTCTGCAATTTTATTATTTATGAACATGCATCAGAGCATCCTTGGCTGTGTTTTGATTTTTCCTTGGATGTGCTGATCCAATTCAGGAATCCTTTGCAGGCTCAAGTGAGAAGTTGTGCCTGTCAAAGCGAACCAGTCTAAGGAATTTGGGAGAATTTGGGAGAATTTGGGAGGTTGCAGGTCAGGAGAAGACAGGCAGGAGCCCAGGGCTCTTCTGTGTCCTTCCAGCTCCCCAAATCTGTCCTGATCAACCCATGGGTGTATCCAGGGTGGAGCTGTCAGCAGTATCCCAGGAAATTGCTTTCTCTGGGCTATTAAAAGGTTTGTCCCAAGATGCTGAATGAGATCAGTGGGACCTCCCTGAAACTGTTGTTGATAGGAAAAAATAAAACTTTCAAGGGGGATTAGAGGGGAGGGCTTGGAGTTACAGTCAGAGAGACAAAAATCCCAATTTTTAGGCCAGATCTCCCCAGAGAGTTTCCCTTTCCACTTTGCAACTTCAGTTCTCCCCCTGCCCCCTTTTTTGGTGGTGGTGGTGTTTTCTTTTCCATTTTTTCCCCCTCTTAGCTCCGAAGCTGTTTGGAAGGGAATAATGTGTCACAGGCTGTAACAGATACCTCCACTTCAGGATCTCAGGAGCGTGGTGTGTGCTAATTAGGCATCCTGGAAGGAGCCTTTGGAAAATATTCCCACTGTACTTGCAGATGGAATCTCCCCTGCTCCCCTTTTTTGGCCAGGCCAGCTGGCAAATTCACTTGTTCAGCTCCAAAAAGTCCATAGCCATTGGCAGATGATGCATCTCTAAATCCAAGGTGGAGAGCTGGTGTGGGTTTGCATTTTTTTATTTCATTCCTTTTTTTCTTCCCTCTCCTCCCTCCTGGTGCGTGTTGCTGGATTTGAATAATTGATGCCTGTTGTCTTGCTTCCTGTTTTCATTGCTGTGTGTAACACTAACCAGCAGTGCTGTGAATCATTCATAGCCTGCTTTCTGCACCTCGGGAGCTGGAGATGTCATGGGAACAGTGATTGGGAGGTGGCACAGACTCCGTGCTGCTCTCCCGGAAATCCACTCCTGGAAGCAGGGAGCAGTAAGTATGGAGTCCCCGAGCTTGGATCTCTGGGCAGGTGGTATCAGGAGCAGCATCTTGTGCCTCAGTCTCCTCTTTCATCTGCTGTTACCACTCAGGTGTCCCTGGGTGTGGTTGGGAGGGGTGGGTGCTGTGCTTGTGCTTTCCTCTCCCTTGTGGGGTTTTGTGCAGCTGATCGTGACCCTTCCGGAGGAGAGGCAAGGATTTTAGGCTTGTTGGTTATTTGGGAGCGGCTTTTTAAAAACTTAGCTTGGATTTCTTCTTGTTGTGCTTCTCCTGGCTGTTTTTGTGGGGAGCAGCCTGGAATTTTGGGCTCCAGATGAGTTCAGCTTCACTTGATGGAGCCTTTTCAGCTGGATTTTCCCTTGCTTGCAGTTTTTGTCTCTTGGTTGTTTACAGTGGGTTGTGCTGCTTTCAGACCCTTCCAGCAGTGCCTCCTGGTGATGGTGTTGGTGGGCAGCTGTTCTTTTGGGTTGTCCCTTTGTATGGAAAACACTTGTGTCCCTCCTGAACTCTGCCAGGAAACTGGGAGGTGCTGAATTAGGTGCTGCTGCTTGGTGGTTGGCAGATGCTCTTCACAATTAGACAATAACCACAGAGCTCTTGCATTTGCCCTGGCTGTTGGTGTTCCTGGCAGGATTTTAATTTGGGGGGAAGGGTTGATTGCTGGTCCCTGTCCATCTCTAAAGTGCACTGGTACCTTACTAAAGCAAAGCTGTTGGGAAGGGCTTTGGTGCCTCTGCCACCTCTGGTTGTGCAGCAGAGTTCAGGCCTTTATCCAATAGCTTTGGATAAGCATCCTGAGAGGGATGTTTGTGTCCTGAACAGGTGGAATCAGGGATCCTGGTGACAGCCCTGAGCTGAGAACTCTCCCAGGTCTAACTCCTCTTGCCATGAACATGGACACCTCCCATTATCCCAGGTTGCTCCAAACTGCCTTTGGACACTTCCAGGGATTCAGCCACAGCTTCTCTGGGCAACCTGTGCCAGGACCTCCCCACCCTCACAGGGAAGAACTCCTTCCTAATATTAAATCTAATGACACTTGGGATTATGCTTTTTTTTAATTGTTGGTACCACTTGTGTTTGAGTTTGTGACCCAGTTCTTGTGAGTGAACAAATCAAATACGTGGCCAAAGCTCTTGCAGGTAGAGGTGGTCTGTCTGCCCTGCTGCCTTGCACAGCCAAAACAGGAAGAGGTGGAAATCAGGAGAGATGCTTTCCTTTGGAGGTGAATTTGTGGAGGATTTCTTGTAGCTGCTGTAGCCTTCGAGGTTCCCAGTGTGGGAATAAGGGGTTTGGCAGGGGAGCTGTTAACAGGCTGTGCAGGATTTTTACATCCTGCCCTTATCCCCCAACATCTTGTACATCCCTCAGTGCTGAGTGAGAGAGGGCAGAGATCAAAGCTCTGTCCAGGACCTTCACAGAACATCAAACTTTGCACGTTCTCAGTGTTTCTGTCCTGTCCTGTCCGTTTTTCTGCCAACGTGGGGGGAGATTCATTTTGTAGGGATGGTCTTGAAGCAGAGAAAAAAAGCTGGAGACAGGAGGCAGCTTATGCAGTGAGTAATGCTGAGCTTTATAAATAGCAAGAGAAGAGGCAAAAATGCAGGCAGGGAGGTGACCCCAAGCACGAGGCCACCGAGGTGGCACAGCAGGGCTCGGGGTCAGATGAGCTGGGAGAGCACAGGGGGAGAGGGGGGTGCTGGATGCGTGTGTGCCTGCGTCCTGCATGTCATCCCCGAGGGGATGAGCAGAGCCACGTGGGCATCTGTGATGTGCAAGTCATGCACATCTCGTGTCCTCTGCGGGGTCAGTGCCTGGAGCGCTCCCGGAGCATCCCAGGCGGGTTTTTGCCGGGAGGACAGAGCCACGCTCCCTGTAGTCTGTGTGAGGGGAAGGCAGGGCACTGATGGGGACAGCGTGGTGACAGTCTGGTGGCCTTTGGAGCCACAACCACCACCTGCCCCCCGGGTGCTGAGTCCTGCTGAGAGGAAGTCAGGACAAGGCTGTCAGCACGGAGCGTAAATGGCCACGGACGCGGGCAGAGGCTGGAAGGGGTGAGCTGGCCGTGTCCCTGATGACATTTCTGGGCTCCACCACTGTGTCTGCAGCAGCTCCAGCGAAAAATATGCTCAGCCCTGGTGGGATTCTTGGGGTTGTCCTGTGCAGGGCCGGCAGTTGGACTTCTGGTGATTCTGTGGGTTTGGGAGGCTTCTCCCCATAGGATGTGGCTATGAAAGGCTTTTAGGTGGCTGGTTCATCTCCTTAAGCCCAGTCCCGCTTTGCTGATGCCAGTGAGGATGTTTCTACTCAGCTGCCAGAGGTTTTTGCAAGAGCTGAGCTCTGGGGGTCCTGTGTGCAAGGAAATAGAAGGGTTTCCCTTCGAGAGGGTGTGATTTACTGCCCACACTCATCTCTGCATGCTCTGGAAAGGTAGGCAAGCTCTTTGCAAGCTCAGCTGCTGCTGAACATCGCTGCTAGTGCACTGATTTCCCCCAGCAGCAGCTTGTGGGGCTGTGGTTGTGCTCCAGTAACCTGTGGAAAACCCCCGGGTGGGATCTGAGCACAGAGTGATGCCACCAGACCGGCAAATAATGGCTCTGAGGTTCCCATCCCTGAGCACCAGCTCTAGGAATTAGTAAGAGAATGTGATTGTTTGGTCTGTCCTCAATATCAGTCTCACCAGGGACAAGGGAACATCTAAATATCTATAAGAAGAAAAGCCCTGTGACGCAGGGAGCATGTGGTGGATGAAGCAGAGGACTTTCCCTCCAAACACTGACGTTCCCATGAGTCAGTCTGGTCCTTTGGGTGCTGTTTGGTGGGAAGAGGAGCTGGGTGAAGGTTTCATCCACCTCTGCATCCCTAGGAGTGCTTGAGAGGTGTATAAAGGGAGGTGGATATTATATATTTTGTGTATATGCACACACACTGCATTCTTGGGGTTGGCCAGGAGCTGGACTTGGAGGATCCTTGTTGGGTCCCTTCCAGCTCAGGATAGTCTGTGACTCTGTGATGTGCCTCTGGAAGTGTTTGTTCCTTGTCTGGGGCTGTTTGGAGGCTGTGTAGGATGCTGAAGATAAACTGCTTTATCTTGGCTGGGTTTCAGCTCCAAGGAGGTCTCTGGATCGATTTTTAAGATTGTTCTTGCAGAGGCGACGGTTCTTTACATTTCAGTCATTCATAAAACCCTCATCATTGGGGCTGCAAACAACCAGCCCACTCCTTTTGTCCTCCTGTGGCTCTTCTTCCTGCAAACTCCTACGAATCCATCGCCTTTCAGTGGCGTGGGAGAAGCTGCTCAAGGAAAGAAAACCTTCAAACTAATTAAACTTCTCAGTCTTGTTAAGTAAGGACCAGGAGATGTTGGCAGGGTTGGGAATAGCTCTGATTCTCATCCCCCCTCTCCATGGCCAGAGGACATGGTTAATTATTGAATTACTTGTTAATGTAGTGAAATATCGCTCGGTGGGTTTCACTCTCTTTTTTTTTCTTTCTTTTTAACGGATTTTGTTTTTTTCCTTCTCGCCAAGGGCTCTCCCAGGACCTGATGGAGTTGTGAGAGCTGGCTCCGGAGGGGCTGGAAGGAGCATGGTCAAACACCAACCCCTGCAGTACTACGAGCCCCAGCTATGTCTGTCCTGTCTGACCGGGATCTACGGCTGCCGCTGGAAACGGTACCAGCGGTCACATGATGACACCACCAAGGTGGGTGCCCCCTCCTCCCACTGATGCTGGGCTTGGAGATCGTGGTTGAAAGTGCTGGATATTTATTTATTTGTTGCCTTGGATAACGATGGGATTCAGTGACCTCGTGGCTGGAGGTCTGTGGTTCTGCCCCGTGGGCGCCGTGAGATGGTCCTGGTGCTCAGAGGGGTTGAGTGCTATGGCCAAATCCATCCATATTTCCCGTGTTCACTCCTTGCTCTGTCTCCCTGGTGTGCTTTACAGCATCCTTGGCTGGACCTGCAGGAGTTGTGTTTCTGCATCTTCTCTGCCTTCACGTGGTTTAGTGGCACTCGGTCCAAGGGTGGACTTGATGATCTTGGAGGTCTTTTCCAACCTTCATGATTCCCTGAGTCTCTTCTTGCATGGGAAAATAAGTTTGGAGATAGGGGGAACAGGCTGCCCAGAGAAGCTGTGGCTGCCCCATCCCTGGAAGTGTCCAAGGCCGGGTTGGATGGAGCTCTGAGCAACCTGGGCTAGTGGAAGGTGAGGAACAAAATGATCTTTAAAGGCCCTTCCAGCCTAAACCATTGTGGGATTCTCTGAAAGGCAGCAGGAGGTGAGAACTGGCTGGGGGGAAATGTGGGAGTGTTGAAGGTGACTCCTGCCTCGCCTGGGAATGCAGTTTTCAGGAGCTGTGGCAGAGGGAATTCAGGAAGCAGGGCTTCATTGCACTTTCCCTGTTGCTGAGGGCTGTGAGATGAGGCCTTGTGAGACCTGCTGTGTTTTTATGGGATAAGTGTGAAAACACTGCTGTCAAAGCCACCCTTTTACAGCTTCTGGGAAATGGTTGTGTGTTACAATCCTTCTGGGCTCTCGTGTCTTCTAGGTTGTTTTCTTTTTTTAATGTTCTTACTACTTAAAGGAGAGAAAACCCACAAATTTAAATCTTGTTTCTCCTGGCTGTGCTCCCAGGAGATCCTCTGGTTGCCTTTTGAGTGCTTAAAGTTGCTCTGGTGTCAGTTGGCTCCTCTGTTCTGCTTTTAAGTCTATAACCAGGGATCTTCCCGGCTCTTGGAGTGCTCTCCCTCTGGAAAAGAAGCTGTTAAGGAGCAGACACGTCCGGCTGGCAGATCCCGTGCCAGAAACGCTCCTGGTTGTGAATTACACGGATTGTTGGTGGAGCAGCTTGGCCAGGAGCTCCCGTGGGAAATGGAGAGTCAGGGCTGCTGTTTGTGCAGCCCTGAACAAATTTCCTTTTGCAAAGTGGGGATGCTGGTGCTGTTTTTCCTCCTCTTTCAGCCTGAGGGACCGTTCCTGGGCACGTCCGTGGCAGAGGGTATAGGTGGCTTTGGAAGACTCTGTCAGGAAAACAGTGGGACACAATGTCTTGGCACCTGGACGTGCACTAACTTAAATACTAAAAAAATGCCTTCTTCCTTCTGCCTGATGAACCAGAACATTCCATTTCTTAGCTAAAAATCCATAGAAAAACTGCTGTTGACTGAATTTTTCAGTGAAATCTGGCTCTGCTTGCTTTACCAAAAAATATCAGTGGCAGCCTTCCAGTTCAACTTGGAATTCCAATTGTTTTTTTTCCTTCCAGTGCTGGAAAGGAATTAGTTGTGTTTAAAGGCACCTGATCTAGGTTGAAATATGCCCAGTCTCAGAACTGGGCTTTTTAAGGTCTACATGAGGCATCAAACTCCCCTTTTAAGAGAAATGGAGATAGCAAGTATTGCTATCTCCTAGACTGATCTGCAGGCTGGGCAGAACCAAAGGATGAAGAATTTGTTCCCATTTGATGCCAATTAAGTGCCCTGCAGATGTTATTTGGAGGGGGGGAAAATCAGGAAATTAGGGTATGTCCAAGTCGCGTTTCTACTTTTTAATGATCAGAAAGCAAGTCAGATGTTCAGAGGGGGACTTTTTTGGATTGTAAGCTTGAGCTGGAAGTTTTTTGGGACAGTGCTTGCTGGAATTGTCATTATCTCTTGATTTTCTGTGACCTTTGAGATGGAAAAGGGAGAGCTGAAGGCGCACAACCAGCACACTCAGTCTCCTTTTTAAATTTTGAACATCTGCAAAATTCCTTTTTTCTATTGTGGGCCTTCAGCTTTAAGGGCAAGATCCCCTTTCGGAGTTTGTTTTTTTTTTTTATTTAATACTTTCTGAAATGAAAGTCCTATAAAGGAGAAGGAATGGCCTTGCTGAGATTCAGATCATTAGAATCTCTGCAGCTGGTGTGAGGAAGGAATTTCTGGTCTAATCACAGCTTGTTCCTCACATATTAAACCAAGGAAGATATTCTGAGGTCAGTGCATGGAGGCAGAGAATGGTTTGGGTTGGAAGGGACCTTAAAGATGATCCCATTCCATCCCCTGCCATGGGCAGGGACACCTCCCACCATCCCAGGTTGCTCCAAGCCCCATCCAGCCTGGCCTTGGACACTCCCAGGGATGGGGAATCCATCACCTTGCCAGGGTTCTATCACCCTGAGCACAAACTGGGGGTAAATGAGCTCTGCCCTCTGAGTTGCCATCTGTGCTGTGAAAGGTCTAAAGTTCAGATTCCACCTTCCCAGGCAGCTCCTGGGTGCCACCATCCCACTGATGGATGGCCAGCAATTAAATTAATTGACATGCAGTTGATTGCAGGGTGTAAACACAATGGTCTTCGTGGTTCACCCCAAATGAACCACTGGTGGTTGTTACGACACAAAAACATCTCTTTCTCCTGGGGTAGAGTCCAGGGCAGCCTCTCTTAAAAACCCCTGCACACACGTGGCAGGATCAGTGTCCACATGGGAGCTGTCCAGGGGTTGCATTGTGTGCACATCAACTTAAATCTATCAACTGCTTTTGTTCTGGAGGGGTTTTTATTGCTTCCAACCACACCCCCCACACACACCCCAGTTGTTTGTACCCAGCAAATATCACACCTGGGAAGTCACCCTTGGGGGGGGAGAGGGGGAGGAGATATTCTGTGGAAGGAAATGGCAGTGGTAATTTTTATAGCTATCCAGCAAACAGAAGAATTGACTCTTATTGACTGTCTGGGTTTGAGTGGTTTTTTGGGGAGCTCTTTTTGTTTGTCCAGTTGGGTTGGTTTTTTTTTTTGGGGGAGGTGGTTGGTTGTTGTTTGCTTTTTGTATGGTTTTGTTGTTTATTTGGTTTTCCCAGTTACTGTGTATTGAAATATTGTGTCCTCTTTACCTTCCTTAGTTCCCTGGCAAATAGGATAAAATATTGTCACCACTTGCAAGGGGCTGTGGCTTCTCTGCAGGGATTAAATTGTACCTCCCACCCATGAGCCCTTTGGAGATCCAGCAGGGTGGAACTGGGATCTTTCCTGCTCTTCTGGGTGGCATTTTGTGGTGTGTGAAGGGGCACCAGACCCTCTGTGTGTGTTCACTTGAGCCTCCTGTCTTTGATACAGAATCCTGGTTTTACATCCCAAATCTCCTAATCCTGTGTTTATTTAACATGAGGGTAAAATTTCTAATGCCTCTCCCTGCCTTTGCTGCTGCCCCTATAACTGAGATATCAAACCCTTCCTAATGAATTGGGTGTTAACATTTACTCCCTTACAGTGGGATGTGTGTGATTCCAGACGGTCCAGCTGCTCCAACACCCCACGTGGCCTCCAGCTGAGGCTTCCCAGGGCTTTTTGGGCTCCTTTTGTGAGGAGACAAAACGAGGAGCTGTGATCCATCAGCATAATGAATTGCAGCGCTGTGGCTGTGATAGCTGTTAATTCACTTTCTAGTGAAACACTCTTGTAATTCCCGCTTGGCCAGAGCTGGGAAATGACCTGAACAGATGATCTGAGCCACAGGCTTTGGGGCTGGGACTTTGTCAGTGCTAATTCCCAGACGGCCAGAGGTCACTGGGCACGGGGAATCGCTTGCTTTGCTGAAAACCTCGATTAGAGGAGGGGTTAATTTGTCCTTTTCCACGTGTTTTTCAATTTGTTGGTGTTCCAGACCGTAGACCTGAGGGGCACAGGAGCTTTTTGGGGAAAGAGGCTTTTTCAAGGTGGTTTGGCTTGAGGGTGGGCACTGAAGCACTGGATGTGGTCAGGGATTCAGAGCTGAGTCCCCATGAATGGATGTGTCTGGTCATGTTGGTGTGATGGGCTAAATGCAGGAGAATCCAATCACTGGGTTAAATTAATTAATATTTGATGGGGTTTTTCCTTATTGTTCCTGAAGGTGTCCCTGGTTATTGAGGGGGTTGGGCTAGATGACCTTTAAAGGTTCCTTTCTACCCAAACTATTCAGATTCTGGGGGCTTTTTTCCCTCTAATGCTTGGAACTGAAAGCAAAGTTGCCCCGTTTTCAGGGCTTTACACTTAAATATCCTTAAAATTCACCCTTGAGTCCTTCATTTCATAGGGAAGCTGGAGGTGACACAGGGGTGTGGATTACTGGCCAGGGAAGCTGTTTGAGATGCTCTCAGATCCACGTGCCAGCTGAGCCAGGCAGGAATTGCTGGGCATGGTGCCAGGGAGTGCTGCTGGTTCTAACTGGGAAGGGTGTGTTTTGGTCTCCATGAAGGAGCAAGACCTCCCTTAGACTGGGCAAGGAAGGTGTGTTAGTCTCAGGAACTGGGCTTAACCTGCCAGGACCTTTCTTATCCTCGATTCCCACTTCCCCAGACAGCTCCTGGAAAGGCTGGGATGAACCTGTTCCAGGGCAAGCTGTTGCTCCCTTGGGTGAGGTCCAGAAGACCATTGCTGGTCACCTCTAGGTGCTACCACGGAGGTACAAGCCCAGAAAGCTGCTTGACCAAAATTCCAGGCTGTTGGGCAGCATTATAAATTTAATTTGATTCAGTAAATACGTTTTTAGCTTTAAAGGGTTTGGGTTGTACTTTTTTTTTCCTCCAAAGCCGTTCTTCAGTATAAATAACCAGCCATGCACTGCAGGTACTGTGATCTCCAGAAATTCCTGCTTGTCCTGTCAAAGATTTCCTGGTTTGTTTTTTTTTTTTCTGGGTTGAAGGATTGGAAACCTCAGAAAAAGGCCCCATGGCAGAGCC